AAACTGGCTCAATTCACCCTTTCCTTCAGTATCTTCTGCAACTCGTCATGCAGAAATCCATACAACAGCCTTCTACCTCCAACGCTTTCCCACATCATACCAGACACTCTGAAGAAAACAATTCTGTCCCGAATGAAACTAAGACACTCTTTTCTAACAATAGCTCTTTACTCAGACATATGAGAAAAGTTCATCTGGGGACCATCCTTAATGCCCTTTATTTCTCTGTGATATTGCGACAGTGTTTGCAAGACCCTAGCTAATAGCAGAACTAATCAAATAACTCTAGAAGTAAACAATTTGTATTACTCTATAATTGTGTTCACAGAGTGGCACGATGTATGCGTTCTGCTAGCACGAGCCCACATTGCTCATTGCAGTGCCTGGCACTCCCATGTACTCAGGGAGTCTCACACCATCCATGCTGACCCCTCGGAATCCTCAGAACCTTCCCTGTGAGCTCTGCATTTTCCTCCAGGTTGATGGCTTTATCCCATGCAAAATTCTTGCTTACTTGATACATGGAGCTGAAATCTGAGCAAGGTTAAAGAAGTCCAAAAAATAAAAGCAGATGTAAAAGAATTGGTTTGGATATGTGGTTTTACTCAGTGTTGCCAATTCAGTTTCTATTTTATAACAGGCTTCAGTGATGGATAAATGTTGTATTTTTAGAAAAAGAAAACACTTGCTGGTACAAAGGAAAGCGTATTCCAAGGTCTAATGGAAATTATACTACCTTTTCTTTCTTGATCTACAGAAAGAAATAAAATGAACTTACTCAGGCCTGTTTTTGATAAAAGGAGAAATTGAGAGCAATCACAAAATGGGAGCAAATAGCAGACATTATGAGAAAATACTGGATGGAGCAGCAGTCAATTGCCAGCACGATATTGTAATTGAATATACTAGATCATTGCTTTTGTCTTTAATGAAATGCTGTAAAAAAGGAGTACCTTTTGTCCCTGCTTAAATATTTACAGATGATATTTGGAAGCTGTTATTAGAGTTAAATTAGAAGTGTGCTATTTTCTATCTTGTATGTTTGCATAAACACTCTCAGTTCACATTTTCTATTGAAGGAAGCACAAAAGGTTTCACTTCATAGCATCTGCAGTCTTTTCAGGTTACACATCTGAGTAGATTTATTTAACTCAAATGAAGAATTACGGAAGCAATTAAATTTCTTCCATGTTTTCATGTCAGTGAAAGGCTTCCAGTTCAGCATTACAATATAGTGTTTGTTTGCATACAGCTAAAATGAGACATTCCATAAAAACAAATATTTGCCATTTTTGTCATCAGCGCAAGCATATGATATCGGCTATCAACAGCTGGGAAAGAAATAAATACTAGGGTATTGGAAAAAACTTTTAAACTAAATCCCAGTAGGAGTGTACTGCAAGAGCACCAGCTTTACTCAAAATTATATTGATTTTCATCTTTGTCTTTCACTGCCCTAATTCTGCCTTGGTTCGTTTGTTTGAATACGTTGACAAATTTACAAGAAAACTGTTCCAGTTATGCACAATGCCTGCCATTAAAATTTACCTTTTGGATTTGTACTTCCTTATGAACAATAACCTAAAGAGCAATGTTTCAACTTGCAAAATGTTGTCAAAAATGCATTTTGCAACGGGTTCCACATTGACTCATTCTTTGTATCCTGTCATTGTAAATGTGAGGCTTTTCTGTCCCTCAGCAAGGATCTGTCTGGCAAGCAAGGTTATTTTCAAAAGCAATAGAAGACATTACTAATAAGAAAAATGACCTGATAGTTCACTGTATCTTTCTTTCTCCTAATGAAAGATCGTTCAGTACAGTGTATTTTGCATCATTTTGCCCAGTGCAGCTTTAAATAACTCATGGGATACAATTCTCTATACTTTCTTGATGAGGTCCATTCTTGTATATATCTGGTTATTGCAGTCTCATGTTTATGTGTTTTAATTTTTTTTTAATTATTACTTTTACTTAAGAGCATACTCAGTTCTGTCTCTGATAAGCTTTTGCGTAGCTCTGCAGAACTTCTCCCAGTGGCTGGGGCTTTTAGTGCTTCACACCGCCATGTCAGAAGAGGAGTTTATGTTTCCTCAATCTGCCTAAGAGGAACTAGGTCTTTGTAGGCTCTCTAGGATTCAGCTGGAACCAGTTAGAGTTTTCAAAGCCTTATGTTAGCACTAAGCTCAGACCAACGGGAGAGCAGGAAAAAGAGGAAGCATATCCTCTTTTTCCTTCTCATTAGTACAGGGCAGCATGTCTGAAATATATCAAACAGCAAAAATATTTGAAATTTATGTAAGAGTCCTTAGAAGATAGAAATAAATCCTGAGTTTATTCTCAACACTAATGAAATGCATGTTTTCCTTTCTTTTACACTCTTTGCTTAGTTGCTAACATGAGCATTCTGGAGGCAATCTAAAGCAGAAGCCAAGAGTGGGATTTGCACCTAAGTTTGACAATACTTCAGACCTTCCTGAATATCTCTGTTCAGGATATCAAACATAAGAACACATGTTATTCTGCAGCTGGACAGATCTTCTGTCTGCAGCATCACGCTATACCAAATTCCAAAGTACCAACATACCCAGTGTGATAACTTCTTTTATCTATTCTTCTTAGGGTTTCTTCTGCATCGTTGGTGGGAACTGTGAGATTGTCAGAAATATCTGAAAGGATCAGTAGTCTTTATCATTAATTGTAAAAAATGGGTGAAATTAACATATATTACAGTTTTATGCTAACCATCTTTGTCTATCTTTCCATCTCTGAAAAAATCTACCTATAGTCAGTCCATCTGGAAGAAGTACAGTGTCTCAGAAATGAATAAGTGAGATGACCAGGGAGAAAAATTAGTTTTGCTTTTATGCAAGATATCAGTATTTGTAATACTGGCATGTGGCCTTTAAATATGGACTGATATCAGTCAACTCTCAGAGATGGGTTTTACAGATGAAAGGCATGAAACAGAAGAAATGTGTTCCTGCATATATATATATATGCATAAGGTCACTCCAAAAGTAATGAATGTCACTCCAACGCTAATGCTTCCTATTTATTTCCATAAAAAATAAATTAGATAAGTAAATAAGTAAAAAAGTTCACAGAATCATAGAATGGACTGGGTTGAGAAGGACCACAATGATCAACCTCTAGACAACAATGCTGTTTGATACAGTACAGCAAATTTTCAGCTACAAAACACTGTTTTTCAGCACAGTAGCCACTATTAGCTGTGTATTTTCACCAGCAGTGAACAAGAGCCTGCACGCCGCACTTGTAAAAATCTGCACCTGTAGAGGTGATCCACTGTCGCTTGATGCCACTGCTGAAACTCAGCACCCACTGCCTCACTGTGTTCACATCCATTGATTGGTCTTTGCAGACATTCAGCAAGCATCAGTGAATGTCACTGAGGGCAGTTTTTTGTGCATGGAGGAATGCAGTGACACACCTTTGCTTCATTTGCATTTCCACATCAGACATCATTTTGTCAGAGTGCCCCTCTGCTGCCATCTGTCCCACTGCAACAACATCCGATGGGATGCTGGAGGGAAGGTTCAGCCTCTACTGCTGTGCTACCAACATCTGCCTCACACACTGTGGGCCAACATAATAAAATAAAAGGCATTACTTTCAGAAGAACCCTTGTATACTGCACACTACATACAGGACTTGGACATCTATAGTGGGATGAATCTTTCCAGACTGTTTCTTGAATTATCCTTGTCTTGTTTCTTATGCTGTATAAACCAGACTGTAAGACAGTGCAATTCAGAGGTGGTAATTTCAAGCCTGTCAGTGGAGCCTCCACAGTTGCTAAGACTCCCAACCTACCCAATCTACTTACTCATTATCATTAACCTCACTGACCTAGAATTAATGTGAATGTCCATCTCAGCCTAGACTTGTGGGTGGCATGAAAATTTACCAGCTGCAGCCCCACCCAGACTGTTCAAGCTAAAACCAAGTTCTCTAACAGCTTGAAACCCCTGGAGAACCATCTGGGTGAGCCAGTCCTTTGGCATGGAAGCACGTAGTGAAGCATTCTGCTTTGTACTGTCAAATGAAAGCTTTGCCCTGAAGAGAAAAATCTCTGAATTAAAACACAGTAATTCTCACTCACAAAGATAAATAGTTTATATAATGGAACTTGTTCTAAAATGCCGAGAGGTGAACAAAATATCCTGCATGGATGAAATGGTGGTTTTAGCTCTGGAGACCCTGGTTCACCCTTGACATTTAGATGGTGGCTTCAGCATGATGAATTAACTTTTAGGAGAGGCTGAGAAGGAGCTGCCCCAGCTGGTGGAAAGGGACAGGACAGGACCCTCCACTGCCACGTGTGATTTACAAGGGCTGCACATTGGATTTCACAGCCATGGGAACTGAGGGCTTTTAGGAGCCTTAGCATTAAGTGAAATCATGTTTTAAAACAAGCAATGTTATTCTGTTTTCTTATTTGTTTTTCTCAGTTTCTACTGAGAACCCACAGTTTTCGGTAACCCTGAAATGCTGCCTGGCAAACATGGAGCCATTTCATGAGTGGAGCTGTACTTCAGACAATTCTGTCCTCTAAAGCAATTAAGAACTATTGCTTTGCTTCAGCAGTATGTAATGAAGTTTCACAACGAAACCAATTCTGGAAGTTGATTTGGCACAGGTTCCTTATTTCTGACTTTTCTACCTCTTTTGTCCATGGTAAAATTGTGGTCCAATTCAAAGCTATGGGACAAGTAATGTTTAGAACAAGCTGTTCCAGTGCCAAATAAATTACTGGGAGTCTTCCATTGGTTTTGGTAATTCATATTGAGGAGGAACGTTTTGCCAGCAGCTCGGATCAAAGCTGCAGATAGGAGAAAATAAATCTGCTTGCTTTTTTTTTTTGCTTTTTTTTTTTCTAAGAGCCTCAGAGGAGGAGGCAGCCAGTGCAGAATACAGTGCAGATCCTTCCTGTCTTTTCAGAATAACTTATTTCAGTTATTTTTGTTTTGCACTTTTAGATATATGTGGGTTTGAACTCAAAGCAAAGATAGAGTCCAAACCTTAGCATGACAGAAAGCGGGCTTTGTATCATATTTGAAAACTCTTCACCAGTCTTCGTACTCTCTTGGACCGTAAATTAGGTAAGGTTTCTATCAGTATGCATTATTGGTAATAAGAAAGAATAATTTATATAATTTGTTCAACAATGGTTCTCAAGCAGGAAAGTCTTTATGTATGCAATATATACATGCATAATGTTCTATCCCAAAACAGATGGTACATTTCCCAAGCCTGTTACATATTGCCTGAAGGTGTATTTCTCATTTTTAGATGCGAACTTACCTGGTGAAAATGTCATGGAGATGAGAGAGAAGAGATGCAGAAAAGCAGAGAGTTTCCATCCTCCTGCCGACCCAGTGGAAGACAATGCTGTAACAGCAGGCGTCTGAGTAATTTCACAAAATCGTATATCAAACTGGGAGGGACCCACAGGGATCATGGAGTCCAGCTCCTGGCTGGACCACACAAAAATCAAACCCTAGGTCTGAGAGCGTTGCACGCATGCTTCTTTGGCTCCGATAGGCTCGGACCACTGCCCCGTGCAGCCCGTTCCGTGCCCACCGCCCCCTGGTGCAGCTCCATGCCGTTCCCTCGGCCCTGTCGCTGTCACACGGAGCAGAGCTCAGCGCTGCCCTCCGCTCCCAGTGAGCAGCTGCAGCCGCCATCGGGCCTCCCCTCAGCTCCTCTGCTCTGAGCTGAGCGCAGCCAGGGGCCTCAGCACTGCCCACACATCTCGCCCTCCAGACCCTGCCCCTTCTTGGTTGTGCTCTTGTAGATGCTCTCTGACAGTGATCTATAACGCTCTCTAATATTAATCTATACCCTTTTTACACTGTGGTGCCCCAGTCTGCACCCAGTGCTTGAGGTGAGGCCGCACAGCGCAGAGCAGAGCAGAACAACCCCTTCCCTCGCCCAGTGGCGGTGCTGGGCCTGATGTTCCCCACACTTGGCCGTTTTGGCTGCCAGAGCCTGCTGCTGACTCACATTCCACTTGCTGTCAACCAGAACCCCCAGCTCCCTTTCCATTTGGCTGCTCTGCAGCCTCTTGTCCTGTGTTCTGTACATTTTTGCAGGTTTGCCCCATTCCAGGTGCAGAATCCAGCACTTGTTCTTGTTGAATTTCATGTGGCTGTTGACTGCTCAGCCCTCCATATCTGCAGTAGGTTTTTTTTTTTCCCAGAAAACGTCTTTTTCTGCACAACAGAAACTTTGAGTGAGAAAAGTATCTTCAGTAGTTGCTTACGTATCAAAAGGGAGCTTTGTCTTTTTAAATAATGATAAGTAAATGGCCTATAGTTTTGTTTAGCTCATGGGAATTGCTAGTATAGTTGTGAAGTGTTCATAACACAGTCCTGGGCCGCCCCCCCCCCCCCCCAGCTGTTACAGTTGACTTTCCTTGATAATGTTTCAAATATTCTTCTCCTTCATCTCTGCTCCTAGACGGTACACTTCCTTGCACATATGTGTTGTGATTCCTTTCAGGAGTCTCCAATTATCAGTAGCTGATATGAGAAGTAATTTAATATCACAGTGGCAACATTTTTTTTAACTGTTTTTAGGAAACTTATACTGTCTAGGCCTAAAGAAGATGGAAAATATGGCCAAGAAAATTTTTTTGTTTGTTTGTTTTTGGTATTTCTCCAATAAACTGAAGAAACAGAAAGAATCGAATTACAACTTTGTATTTTCAAGTGTGATAGACTTCAAAATTAAGAAAGACTATTGTATTAGCTTGTCAATTGCTTGACTTATTACTGCCTATCTACCTATCTTATCATACATTTTCCTTTAACAGCCTGAAAATTTGATTTAATTTGTTGTGACCTGCTACTTCTCATTAGAAAATAGATGGTCTTGAAGAGAAACCCTGTCTTGGTGGATAGCACTACAAGATCAAGATCATCTCCATTCAAGAGGGGGTCAAAATGTTCTTTATTTCTTCACAGTAAAACAGTGAAGTTGTGACTAGAGTCGGCCTTGAACTGGTGCTTCAGTTCAGAATGCCAGCACACGTGAAGAATGCTCTCATTCTGACCATCTGTTGTCCCAGGTAAATTGAGAGATGGTAGCACACAACAGTGTATTGTTATAAAGAAAGTTTGTACTGCCTTAGTATTAGAAGTTGAAGGGCTTATAGAATATTTTCTGACCCTGAAAATGTTAACTTTTCCTTTCTTTCTTTGGGGGATGTTTTTTTTCCCCAGGTATCTGAAGAAAAAGTGATGATTACAATAAGAGAAATTGCAAGAGATTTTCCAGATCTAGGGTCAGTGGTGACATCCCCATAAATCATGAGTAACCCTAACACAGACAGTCTTAAAGAGGCTTAGTTGTCATAAACATATATACTTAGGTAGAACTGTTCCCGTCATATTTATCTTTCATTCCATAGCTTATAGAAACCAAATTTCTGTCATCGACAATTATTAATCATGCATTTACCCTGCTGAGACATCTAATAAAGCATCAAGTACAGAGTCTGAACATGAGTGAGAGAAAAGGAGAGAAAACAGAGAAAACATAATCCAAATTTTTTAAAGTGAGGGGAAGAAAAATCTCACAGAACATCTGTTCACCACATGTTCATAAATTACAGTGGGATTTTGAACTTTTCTTCTCTCGTCTACATGTCACGCAGATTTAATAGTTCATAATTTTACAAAAAACAACATAATTATGCACCATGCTCAAAAGAACATGTGATCAGCTCTCCAGCAGCACTGCTGCAAGCTGCTCTCTGTTGATGCCAAGCTTGCAGCAGTTCAGCATGTTGTACTTTCTCAGCCCTTGCATGGGAGGCTCATTATTCATGGCAAGACTGAAGAAAACACCACTGAAATTCAACTCATGAGCCTGGGCCTGAATACGATAACCTTTGACTCTCCAGGGAAATTAACATTTTGTGCTTAGACCACAAAAAATATTGGAATGTAAGATCTTACTGAGAAATACTATTTCTCATTGAGAATGCACCTTTCCCCCATCAGTGCGTTATAGAACAGGTTTTTATTTAGCTTAAATGGAAAAGAATGAACAAAGCAAGTATTACATAGAAGGCGTATTTTGCAAATTTTTTATTTATGGCTGAACTACAGATCAGAATCTAAAAATATGTGCTTCCATCTACTTGACTGAGACAAGTCACTGGTGTACATATGAGTACACACAGTCAAGTTTCCTCTTGCCATTTACTTCCCATGAAACTGATCCATCTGTGCATAAAATCTATGTACAGATTCCAGGTCTTGGGCTGACTCTGCATCCAAGGGAAACCCTTGCAAATATTTGTTCTGAGATGTGAAAGAGAAGAGGGAATTTAGATGCAGAATTAGGAATAGAAGGAGAAAGACAAGTATCATGAAAGGAAATTGTGCTTTTGTATTTACTTCATTGTCTCATTTTTAAAATTATCCTCTTCCCTACCAAATAGCAACATCTTAAAGAAAAAGAACTTATAAACGTACAAGGATTTTTCCTTTATAACATACACACAAACAAAAAACATGGATTCCAGCATGCAAGAAGCAAAAGCAAAATATTCAGGAAGCACACTTGCAATAAACAAATTGGAGATTAAAACCATCCCATGTCAACATTCAGATTCGTTAAGACCTCAAACATATAAGCTTTAATGTAGTTGTAATATACAGATTTAGAGTACTCTTCAAGAAAAATATGACTCAGGAGCAGTTGCCAGCATGAGAAGTTTCTGTTTCTTCTTTTCCTGCTGATGATAATTATGATTTAGGGCTCCATATTAAACAAGGAAGGGGCTGCAAACACAGTTTGAAATGTTTCATATTGGTGTTTTAATGAAGATCCCATAGATGCCATCTTCTTCTACCTAAGTTAATGGATTGATTTAGGTAGAGGTTCTGTAAAATGTAGTAGAAAATCTTGTTGCAGTTAGAAAATCCTAGCAAGAGATTGATTTCTATGTAATAAAATTACTTCATTAAATGAAATCCTCATATTTCTTCTGAACTCTTGAGACAGCTACCAAATTTTATAAAAGGCCATTAAATGTAGTGCACAGCTGGCATTGGCCTGCTGGCAGGAAAAATGACTTTCCCCATCTGAGTTCTCTGAGAGAGGTCCAAAGCTGCCACAGAACTGAACAAAGCTCTGTGCACCACAAACTGCTAAGGGAAACAAAACACTGCACAGGAGCAGGGGGCACTGACCAATAGACTGAGTCCCCCAAAGCAGGTAAAAATGAGAATAAAACGTTTGAACAAACTTGTTCAGAATTGCCTTTGTCTGCAGCTTCACAGTTATTTCAAGCACACGTTCTTTATTTTTGCACAGGAATTGAGAAAAATTATGAAGTTGGTATGCCTAACCAGCCCAAATTCCAAGTTTACAGATCATTATAACTGCGGAAACTGCTGGTCCATCCTTTTATTTTTCAGAGGTAGAGAAGGTGGAGTTTTTTGAGTATCAATGAGGTGAGATTGTGGCAAGTCTTTCTGCTTCCATCATCATGATTTTTTTTCACCATTCCCTTTGCCTCTGTTGTTGTCAGGTGCGCTACAGTCCTCTTGTCTTGCAGACTGACTGTCTCCTTGCACTCAGAAAACTCAATTCAAGTAGATATCTTGTGAGTCTGCAAAGATAAATCAATTCCAGTGTTTTTCATCCTGGGAAAAAGGAAAGTAGAAATCAGTTACATAGTAAGCATGGAGAAGTTCTGACTCATACCTAATTTGATCTAATCTAAAGTTTATTAAGCTCAGAAGAATTTGACTGGTTTCCTTTTAGCTTTATTTCAGAACAATTGTTTGTGGTGCATGCTGCATCCCTGGGCACTTCATCTCTTTTCATCTTTCATCCATTTTTATTTAAGCCTCTGTTTCTCAGTATGGGGTGATGTGTTGATAAAATAAACTACTTATCTTTGTTGAAATTACTCTTTTTGGTATGAAATGTTGGGTATGGTATGGTATGAAATTGCGCATTACCCAGGGGGAAAGAGTCCAAGAACTTTGCAAGATTTTAATTAAAACTGAATCATGGCATGAATGAACAGCTAGAAAACAGTCTGAGAAATTCAGTACTATCCAGTTTTCGTGTTAGTTCCTTCAGTTATTTAATTCCAGAGAATACCTGGAGTAGTCAAACAGGAGATTGATAGCAAACTTCTTGTGAAGAAACTGTTCGCTAGGTAATGTCCATGCCCCCATGAGTGCAGTTGCAAAGGAAGCTCAGAGAATATGCAAGCTCCTGGTACAAATAAATTCTTTTCTCAGGGAGGAAAAATACAGAAGATCTATGGGACAGGAGCCATTTGTTCAGGGAATTGATTTCAAAGAAGAGTACCAAAGCTCAATGATGCAAGCTCGTTGGAGACAGAACAGGGTAGAGAGATATTTGCCTTCCTGGGTTTAGCTTTGCTTCAGCTTTACCTGCATATGTGAGAAGTTGTTCATTGTTTGCTTGATTTTTGCATTCAGAGGCTGACCATACACCAGATGGTTCCTGTGGCTGCAGCACAACGTAGCCCTCCTGACAGCGGACAGAAGTATATGACCAGAGGAGATTATATGTATTGGAAAAACCACTGAACTGAAGTTTACGAGTTGTTGGTTGTGAGCTGTGACAATGCATCGTGCATTAATAATGCATCTTAATGTACATATGAGGGGAAATCTTGAAGAAAACCTGCACGAAGCGTGTATTCACTACAGTGCTGTGAGTAGCTGGTAGAACAGAGTTGAGAATGTAATTTAGCTAGTGAACAGAAAACAGATAGAAGAAAAAGCAAGAAAAGGCTGCACCTAATGTTTAGAGTAAGACTTCTTTTCTCATTGAAATGTGAAGGTGGATTCCCAAATCTTTGTTCCAGATTTTGGCTCTATGACAAGTAAGTATAAAGAGAAGAAAGATGAATGTGACTATAATACACAGGCAAAGCTGTGCATATCTGATGCGTAAAAAGAATTTGGAATTTTGAGGTCTGCTAAATCAGTTGAGTCTTACTGCAATGTTTTTCTGGTTCATTTGGCCAGAGAGCATGTATTAAATCTATATGACCGTGCACATAGGCAAATATTGATTTTATTAGTAAAGAAATTGGGAAAAATATGTGATGTCCTAGTATCTGGTTATCCAGTTCTAATACACATTCCTTCTTTACTCAGACTTCTACATGAATGAAGGTCCCAGTTAATTCATGAAGCCCTTCTGCCCACTCTATAAAGGTTAAGTCCATTCAGCAAAAATTGAAAATGAGAGTTGAATACTGTGAACAATTAAATTCTGCATTTGAAATAATAAATGCATAGTCTCATGCATGTAAGTTGTACTGAAATCTTAACTTTTTTTAGACAAAAATGAATTTGAAACAAACTTATGGCACTTATTCTGTAGAAAATTTGCAATCAGTGAGAAGTCTGAGTTTATTGAATAAATAATATAACCTTATACCTTAATATTCAATAAATTAATACAGACTTACTTTTGAATAAACAGTAGGATTTTAAAATTTCCACAAAAATTAATTTTATTTATTGCAGACTTGGGTAGGACTATGCTTATTCACTATATAGGGTCATGAAATATTCAGTTTAAATGCACTAAAGAGATCTGTAAGTGCTTCCTGGATTTCCCGACCTTCCAAAATTCCCATGGAAACATTGAATCACCAAGGTTGGAAAACACCTCCAAGATCCAACCATCCACCAATCCCATACCACCAATATTTCCCCACTAAATTGTGTCCCCTGGTACCACATCTGAACGTTTCTTGAACACCTCCAGGGATGGTGATCCACCAACTTCCTGGGCAGCCTGTTGCAGAGCCTGACCACTCTTTTGGAGAATAAATTTTACTCAATATCCAATCTGAATCAATCTTTCATGATGGATAAGCAAAGGCACATCTGTAATGAATGGCTCCAAGTGATTTTTCTGTCACATCAAGATCTATACGGGAAAAATGGATTAATAGGAACCTTCTGACAAACTTTTCAGTAATTTATGCTTTTTATATTTAACATTTAATGTAAATTTGATGTTGAACAGCAGTTCTGTAGCAGTAGTTTAGCTACTGGACACCAAACAGTGGAGATGTCTGATGCTGAGGGATCTGTTCAGGAGAGCTGTGCTGGATCACATCACTTCATGATTTCCTTAGAAGGAAGTATGAAAAAGCCTTCAGGAACTGCCACCAATGGAGGCAGGCTTCTTTAGCTCCTTCTCACAGCTAGGGGGAATGGTAAGATTTTCCCATGCAGGAATTCATAGGCTTGGGGATAGATCTGACAGTTCTGTAGGAAAGGGTTGCCAGCCTGGATCCTGAGCAACTACTTGCTACAGGTGGCAGGTGAGGGAAGTATGCACGTTTGTTCTTCCTAGCCCTGCCAAGTGTGCTGCTGCTCAGGGCAGGCCCGGGGGAAGGCCTGGAAGGAAACATCTGCTCACCGGTCAGTGCCAAGCCATGCGGAGCTGATGGTGGCTTTGTGAGGCATTTGGTGATGCCGTGTGTTCATGCTCATTTCACAGATACTGCTGCTGTCTATGCTGGGTTTAATATTGGGAGGGATTGAAGGAAAGTACCTTGGGAAGGATTATATGAGGAGAAGACACATAAACCTTTCTTCCTGACTCAACTTTGTTATTTTCACAAATGTGGAACACATTTGGTCTGGCATCCCGTTTGATTTGTTTACTGCTTTTGTGTCCTACATTTGCAGAGGCTTTCCAACTACAGATACTTCTTTCATCTGGCCTGGCTCTGTCTTCTGCACAGAAAGCCCAGTTTAGGTGGGTGGAGTACACGTCCGGGGTGTTTGGGTGGGCCGTCAAGGAACACGCTGAACTTTTGGAATAGCCTGGGCTGTACTTTCAGCCCAGCTCAAGTGTAGAAATTCTGGGATTAGTTTGGAAAAAAGATTAGGCAGCATGAAATGTCAGCCCTTACCTTGGTTGCACACAGCTCTTTCTTTATGTCGTCAGTCCATCTATATGCATTATTACAGAACTGTTGAAAATGACTCTGGCTGTGTGTTTTCATAAACCTGTGGTATGGCTCATTTTCAAACATCACTTTCATTATAAAATTGTGACTCCTGCAGTGACCTGAAACTTGCCATTTTCTGCTTGCATTGTAGATAAAATAAGAACTGGTTTTCCATAGAACCGTAATTCCCAGTTTAGTTGGGAAGTATTCCAGTGAAATTGCCTTTTTCCTCTCTCCTGAGCATCTTCTTTTTCTCCATCATTTCTACTGGCCTTCACCTGTTCAAATATGCTGAGAAATTACAGTCTGGCTCCACTGCCCTTGCCACCAGGCGTATCTGCCAGTGGAATTTGGAGATCTAAAAAAAATTATTTTATTCTGCATGTACTCTGAGACTTGGTGCATAGACTCATTCTGTAGTCTTTCAGATATGCATTGACTTCACTTAAATGCTCCTGTAACAGTCAAAAAGAAGCCACTTTTTCCCCCAGAAGCAGTTTCCTAACGTGCATTATTGTTGGCAGCATCTGCAGATAAACTTCTTGTAATTGATTTAATAATTTTCAAATAAAAAAATTATGATAGCTGTGGACAGCTATAAATAACAGAAATGAAACACATTATTTGCTCAGTGCCTTCACATGCACTTGTTTAGCTCTTTTTGCTGTTAAGTTGAAACATCTGTTTCTATGGAAGTGGAGCATTCCATGCAACAAACACAGCACTGGAAGTGACCCACATATTAAATGACAACATTTGACAAATTCTTGCAGTTGATTACTGGGGAGGAGTAGACTGTGGTTATAATCAGAGTAAACCAAAAAAATGTGTACCTTTATAAACCTAGAGTTTAAATGAAACATCTGTACCAAATCATGTCAGTAAACCAGCACTGTAGCCAACTACCAGACCGTATGATAATGGGGTGTTTTTTACAATCCCTATTTCCATCTCCATCTTCCAAATCAGGTCCAGCCTGTGCCCACTGCCACGAATTCTGCTGGAAAACAATTGGGATAGTGTTAGGCTGCAGTGCATGCTGTCAGCTTGGATACAAATGCCTGTAAAAAGTTAGTGATTCCAACACATCCTGGAAATCATAAACACAGGTAGAAACTCAGGTAACTACCAGAGTGTGCTGTAGGCTACAGCCTTTTCTGGGTATTTTAACCAAGGCTCACACCTCACACCTTGATAAGTGTGGATATGCTTCAGTGACTCTGAAATCTGCTTCTTAAGGAAAAGCACTTGTACAGCAAGGATGTGGACATTAGAATAGCAGCAGTGCATAAGCTGTTGATAAGCTGAGAGCGCTGAGGCTGACTGAGAAACCCAGGTTTGGTAGCTCACTTAAACATAATTCTTTGGGTCTGTGGAGCTGGTGTACAAAAAAATTGAAGCAAGTACAGGGGATTTTGAGTGCTTTCCGATGCTTGTTTAATGAGTAAAAGTCAAATAAGAACTAATTTAGTCCATCTTTTTACTCAGATTCTTAAGCAGATATTCATTAGTAGTACTTGATTCTTACTATTGCAAAATATTTTCTGAATTAATACTACTAATGAAATAAATACTCGTTTTTATAAAATCAGTATTGCATAATCATTGCACGTAACTCATCCTACATGATGATCTCAGTGATGGCTCTGCTTGAGCAGGCCTTGGATCAGACGACCTCCAGAGGTCTCTTCCAACCTCAGCCATTCTGTATGATTCTGTATGATTCTGTATGATTCTGTATGATGTTGTAGATGACATACTATAAAAAAGTCATTATGATATAGCAATACATTCAGAACTCTTTGACCAACATGATTGATGCTCATGAAAAGTTGAAATACTGCAGTATTTCTTGAGTAACACTTGCAAAATAGCTAGCATGTGGGAAGTTCTCACTAAACAACTAGGTAAGTGCTGTTGGGCAGAAACAAAAGGACAGGCTATATGAACTGTTAACAACTAATGAGTTGTGGTCTCAAAATTTATACTCTTTGAAGGTGATGAATGGTGTCCGTCAGGGGTCCATCTTGGGATGTGTGCTCTCCAATATCTTTAGCAATAATATAGGCAGTGGAATCAAGTGCACCTTCCGCAAGTTTGCATACAATATCAAGATGAATGGTGCAGTTGATACGACAAAAGGAAGAGAAGCCATCCAAAGGGACCTGGGTGAGCTTGAGAAGTTGGCCCATGTGAACTTAATGAGGTTCAACAAGGCCAAGTGTAAGGTGTTGCATCTGGGTTGGGGCAATCCCAAATATGTGTGCAGACTGGGAGAACTCTTGAGAGCAGCCATATGGAGAAGGATTTGAGGTTTCTGGTAGACAAAAAGCTGGACCATGTGTCAGCAGTCTGCACTTGCAGCCCAGAAGCCCAAAAGTATCTTGGGCTGCTCCAAAAGAGTGGTCAAGAGAGGTGATTGTGCCCCTCTGCTCTGTCCATGTAAGGTGCAATCTGGAGTATTGCATTGAGGTCATCCAAGCAGAGGATGAATACTGAGCTGTGGAGTGTGTCCAGACAAGGGCACAGTAATGCTCAGAAGGCTGAAACACGTCTTCTGTATCTTTCAGGTTTCAGATTAAAGAAGGTAGATTTAAGTTAGATATTAGGAGAAAATTCTTTACCCAGAGAGTGGTGAGGCACTGACCTAAGTTACCCAGGGAAGCTGTGGATGCTCCATTACTGGAGGAAATCAAGGCCAGGTTGAATCTGATCTGGTGGTGGCGATGCTGCCCATGGCAGGGGGGTTGGAAATGGATGATCTTTAAAGTCTCATCCAACCCAAGCCATTCTGTGGTTCTTTAACTTTCCTAAAATGCTATAATAATCAGATTATGTCATTACTTAGAGCTAACCTTACAGAGCATTATGGCAATGAAGATTTATGTCTGACAGGTTCTTATTTAAGAACAATGAATAATTTTTTTAAGATAAATAACAGGTTTTACAATAAGGATGTAGTAAAAGTCTATAAAGGATTCATTTGTAATACAATTTTGATGAATTTGGGTTATCAAATATATTTTTGTTCTCAACTTTCTATTTGAATATGCAAACAGTGTACAAGAAGCTTAAATGCTTAGATAAAAACATAGAAATTGTGACTGGTAGGTTCTGATTTCAAGAATAAAAAAAGTGGAAAAGCCGTGTAACCAGTGTGCTTAAATATACAAGAAAATCTGAAATAAAAAACTGAATTGGTTTAAGATAAACACAAAAGGGGAAAAAATAGCTAAAGCTCAAAGGACTGAGAAACACAAGAGCATCTTTGGTCTAAACATTTTATTAAACTTTTTCGTAGATTTATAAGTGTTATTGTCACGAGAGACTATT